CACTTGAGGACGTTAATCCATGCTTTAAGAGTAATGCCACATTAAGGAGTAAAGTAGACACCTGAGTCTTTTGATCCATGCTTTTAGAGCAGGCCTCAACAAATATTTTCAGATTTAGGAGCCATCTGTGATATAGAAAAGTTAAGGGAGATATTTAGAGTCGATTGTGTGATTATGGTACAAGACATACAGTTTAATAATGGACCCTTTGATTATTAGTGTAAAACTGAATGTGCAATTATTAAAATAGTAGACTAAGTAACTATAACTTAGGTAGATTCTTGCAATGAATTAAATAAGAATAATCGCTGTGATATTGATAGGCTAAGCAGGTTGTATAATCTACTCATCACAACAACACTGTACAATGATAAGTGAAGGCCTTTTGGTGTGCCTAACCTAACTTCACTACTGTTTGTACCAGGAAATGGGGGCTGTATTTATTTACTTTCACAGCAACGAGTGCATGCTAACAGTCACATGCTATCAACAACCACTTGATATTATTGCCAGAACTAACTGCCTTTTATCCTCTCTGAGTATATACATGCACATTGATTGGTTGAATTGAGAGAAAAAAAGAAAAGCAAAATGGCTCAAAATTAGTAACTGTTGTGCTTTATTAGTAACGTGTTGTACAATTGTTGTGCTTTATTGGTAACGTGTTGTGCAACTGTTGTGGTTTATTAGTAAAATGTTGTACAACTGTTGTGCTTTATTAGTAATGTGTTGTACAACTGTTGTGCTTTATCAGTAACATGGTGTGCAACTGTTGTGCTTTATTAGTAATGTATCGTGCAACTGTTGTGCTTTATCAGTAATGTGGTGTGCAACTGTTGTGCTTTATCAGTAACGTGGTGTGCAACTGTTGTGCTTTATCAGTAACGTGGTGTGCAACTGTTGTGCTTTATTAGTAACGTGTTGTACAACTATTATGCTTTATCAGTAACATAGTGTGCAACTTTTGTGCTTTATTAGTAATGTGTCGTGCAACTGTTGTGCTTTATCAGTAACGTGGCGTGTAACTGTTGTGCTTTATCAGTAACATGGTGTGCAACTGTTGTGCTTTATTAGTAACGTGGTGTGCAACTGTTGTGCTTTATTAGTAACGTGGTGTGCAACTGTTGTGCTTTATTAGTAACGTGGTGTGCAACTGTTGTGCTTTATTAGTAACATGGTGTGCAACTGTTGTGCTTCATTCCTGAAAAAATGTGTTGAATCTGCCATTAAAATCCTAAAAAAAAAGTATGTTTTTGAACTCAAAGAACAAGAAAATAGTTCTGGACTTCCAAGAGTCTAGAACTGTTCTAGATTCAAGTTCTATTTAACACATCTCTACAGATGTATAAAATATGAAAAAGTTGCCATGTTTAGTTGCCATGGTGACCCAGGATTTGTTGAGGCCTGTTTGAGTGTAATGCCATACTGAGGAAAGTATGGGTAAGAGTATTTGAATTATTGAGATGAAACTATAATTTCTCACTAATGTTAATTATTGTTTATATGTTAATAATGCAACTTATACTTTGATTTTTGTTTTTTACTATGTTTACATTGTGTAATTAAGTGATTTTGTGATGTAGGAGAATCAAAAGGCTGTGGTTCAGACGAAAAGAAACGACTGCCTGTTCACATGAGACTAGGACTACCAATTAAGCCTTCTTTGCTCACAGGATGTTCCTCGCGATCTGACAATGAACAGTTAAAGTGTTCAGAAAACAAGTCAAAGAAAAAAGATAAAGTGGAACGTACAGAGAGTAGAATGAATTGGCATAGAAAAAATGATAAACAATATTCATTGAATAACCCACAGAAGAGATTACCTGTCCATCAACGTCTCAGCCAGAAGAAACCTTCAGAGACCATTGATAGAAAGAGATCCAGACATTGATGAAAACTGAACAAGATGTCAGGTAAAAATGGTAACATTATTTATAGATTGGAAATATTTTTCACTTTAGGTAGAAAAAAGATATATTTGTACTTTTGTGCAAGTATGTACTCTATTGTGTAATTTTTGTTAATGTATATTTACTTATTATGTATTGTGTAAATAAAATGTGAATATGTATAGTGTTAAAAGTTTTCCAAATGGATTCTAAAGTTGAATCTAATGTTTTTGATGAAAATGATACCTTGTGTTTCATTGTACATAAAACTGAGCTATCTGGTTTTTACAAACGTATAACACAGAAGTGAGGAACTAGTCTTTCAAACTTTGTATTTGATTTTGTTGATAATGTTAAGAATATACCGTTATGGAAACTAAGTAGACATTTTTTATAAATACACACACACACATATATTTACACATCTATAAAGACTATACTACTGCTTGTTTTTTTTCAACTATTATTTAGTTTTGTTGTTTGTAGTTTCTATCAAAGTGTGTACCAAATTGCTTCTTAGTTTATTTCTTAGCCATAATTTGAAGTAGGTGATACAAGCATACAGAAAGTTTATGTAACTGGTTTGAAGTAGGTGATACAAGCATATGGAAAGTTTATGTAACTGGTTTGAAGTAGGTGATACAAGCATACGGAAAGTTTATGTAACTGGTTTGAAGTAGGTGATACAAGCATATGGAAAGTTTATGTAACTGGTTTGAAGTAGGTGATACAAGCATATGGAAAGTTTATGTAACTCGTTTGAAGTAGGTGATACAAGCATATGGAAAGTTTATGTAACTCGTTTGAAGTAGGTGATACAAGCATATGGAAAGTTTATGTATCAGTCTTGGTATATTACACAGGAATTTCTGGCATGAGAACACCATGTATTGTGATGTCTTAATATGTGGCACAAGAAGTTTACCCAAAGTTATATATATGATATATTATGTGTAGTTGAGAAAATATGTGCAATAACATTAGAATATTTATATATGGGGATTGTAGTAAAAAATAATCTTTACAAAGGAGAGAGAACAAAGAAAAGATTACTTTATCTAGTCATTAGTTCATAACAATCCTAATTAACTTCTGTAAAGCATGCTATTTACAAGTGTGTGTGTGATAAATATGACTAAATGACCACCAAGAAACAATAGCATGAAAGTATCACAACAGAAAGATGCTGACTGCACAAATACATAACATTGTAGGTCTCTTCAGTTATATAATTGATTCAGTAAAACCTCGTGATATTTCTTTGTGCTCTAAATATAAACACAAATTTCAGTGAGTAATTACAAGAAGTAGACATATTCATCTGTTTGTTTTTATATCCATAAAATTTCAGTCTAAAGGAATGGAATCCATCCCACAGAATATCTCCATTCAATAACTGTTTTAAGTTTTGGTTTTGTGTGATTTTAATTGAAATCATTTAAACCTTTTCGTACTACAGTTTGTAGGACAAATGTTAAACAGCCTTATGAAGATATTTTTCACTCTAGAGATCCTGGATAAAAAGCCACTGGGGCTTATTCAGATGATGGTGTTTTTTATTTGAAGATGTTTATAATGATTTAAATGAAATTTGTATTTGTTGTGATGATTACTTTGTTGGATTTTTTTTATAAAAATTAAAATGAATTTTTTTGTCTGCAAATTAATTTTCACACAGAAAAATTGCAGTGTAGGCTTAGTATGGAGAGGAAGAATGTTATCAGTAACCAAATATTATTCAGTAAGAATAATGCAACTTGTTAATTATATCTTTAATACATCTAATTATACTTTCCTATGCATGTGTTAGAAAAATAATGATTTGTTCGAGTAAACTTGGCTTGTATGTAAATTATTAAAAACTTGATCTCTACATTTTAAAACTAGAAATTTTGTTATGTTTAGAAATTACAGAAGTATTCCTCTGATTTAAGCATGCACTTTAAGAGAGATTATAAATTATTGGGATAAATAACTTTGATCACTGATGCTTTATCTTCCTAGAGTTAGGCTTACCACTGATGAGAATGAATAGCACATAGTTCTACAAGTCTTTGTATGAATCTACATTGATATCAATGAAAAGTTCTTATAATTACATTGTTTAAGAAAACCAACCTTTTACATGATATCTATCTATATATATTAAACAAATTAACAGGCTTTGTACAGGAAGTCTAGTATTACCAAAAACCTGAGAAGTAATTTTATTTAGTTTTTTATATTTATGTTTTGTTTTTCATTTTATATAATGTCAGATATACTAAATTCATCATGCTCTGCACTTGTGGTCAAACTCTACTAGTCAGATAGATAAAAGTAATCAAAGAGTTGGCAGTGGGTGTTGTTGACGTCAATATTAGAGATGGCTAGTGTGTTTCTCACAAACAAGATATCTCAGTAATTGTTTCTACATTGTACTGTAGAATTCCACAAACAATATGTGGTACAATATAGTCAAGAGTTCTTAGAATAGAAGTATACAGTGGTGTTTAATTTAATTCCAGTTTTTTAAATCTTGTAAAAACAACAACAAAATGTAAAAAGAAATTCTGTGTAAACCTATATGCGTGCAGTAAGCACAATCTGTATAATTTCAGACTGGTAAGGCATGTGGGAGACGCTTGTTAAGTCATAAAATAATTGTTGATACTCTGAAGATGATTATTACATGTTAATATGCTTTAATGAACCATCAGCATATTTGTTTCTTGATTGGGTGAATTTCACTAGATTAAGTTTGAATCTTACATCACTGAATGGAACAAACAAATTCCATAATGCAATAGTTTAATGAGGTTGGATTCAAAGTTTAATAATAAAAGACCTTGTCTGTGGCTACAAACCTTTCTTTAATGGGACAAGCTATAATGGAACACACAGCAAAGTTAAAACAAATAAAATCTTCATACACCTACCTGCCAGTTTTAAAATGTTTCTTACTCTTGGCTAATACTTTGAGAGGTTTAACAACACGTTAATACCCAACAAAGACAAAGGTAATTCTGATTTACAACACAAAATGTTAAAGTGCACACACCATTGTTGACCAAGTATAGCAAACAACATTCATAGAGAAGTAACCCTTCGAAACGGGCTTGCTTCCCCCAGGGGAGGGAGGTCAGATACAGGGCCAAAGTGATAGGAGTTCCTAACTGTTAAAGTATACAAGCTTTACTTGAGTAAAAGGATTATTACGACCTTTCAATAATTATATTACCTGGATATGTATTATAAATTAAGGAAGGGTGAGTCACTACATGCACGGTGAAAACAATAACCACCCTATCTCCTTAAACAGTTTCAAACCTAAGGATCGTCTAAAAACAATCTTTTAATCAAAGAATCCTAAAAAATTACCCAGATTCTTTTCAGCTATCTTTATTTCAATGTAACTTTTATTCTGGTTATATGTACATCTGATTGTCATAAATTACAGATCGTAACATATATTTATGTTGTGTAAATTGTTATTCCTGAATTTCATATTTTGATTTGTTTCATTATAACTTGTGATGAAAAAAAGAGTTTATTGCTATAGCCATGATGTTTTTGTTTCTTGTTCAATATGCCACTGCAGAGGTTATAGTTTAAACTTTGCTGTTATTGGTAGTTAAAAATACATATATGTTTGATCCTTTAGTTTCAAGCAATACTGCTTATTTATTCCTTTGGCAGTGGAAAGTTTAATTTTTTATGTACTTACATGTTCAGGCTCACTATGAAGTAATTTGTAATTGTAAGAGCCTAGAAAAGGATGTCCAATCTAACTGCACAAATCACAGAAGCTCCACCAGGAGTTAATGTCATTTTAAATTAAACTGCAAGTTTCATAGTTCATCAACTTGAGGAAACGTCCCATTTTTTTTGTTCACATGGAATACGTTCCAACATGATTACAGGTTTCATAGTTCATCAACTGGATGAAACCTCCCGTACTTTTTGTTCACATGGAATATGTTCCAACAAGACTGATTAGAAAGCAACATACAGTTTTTAATGATAGTTTCCACTACGTATACTTGTTTAATTGTGTCAGGTTATACTGAGTCGTGATTGTCATCATAATAAAATTCAATAAATACTCTAAAACAATATTCATTTTGTGCAGGTAAAGAATCAAATATAGAACTGTGTAGTGATCAAAAGATGCTTGAATAAGAAATAGTTTTCATGGGAGATGAGACCACAAATGTTTGACTATGTTCAAGAAAAAATATAATTAAGATGGTGCATTGTGGGAGTAAATAATGCTCTAACAATTGTACCTCTTTGTTTATTTTAATAGAAATATAAATGATTAATAATTGATTATATGTTTACTTACTATACTTATGCTAGACTCTGGTGATATTCATGATTTTTGTCCAGTGTATTTTATCACTAGATGTGTGTTAGTATTTTGGGCTGAAAAATCGATTGGTGCTACCAGTTATTCATTTCATCTCAATACTGCCCTCTGGAGGTTAAAAATCTTTAAATCGTGTATATATTTCTGTTACAACATTGATAAATGCACAATGAAATAAGTATCAACATTATAGCTGAGGTTATTAGTAATAAGTCTGTTAGTGACCTTAAATTTATGATTTCAGCTGATGTGATGATTCTACTACCTTCTAAAACAACCATACATTTGTTGATCTCATTATTAGAATATGATAAACTACACTGGTGTCATAAGATTTTTAATTTGAGCTTCCCTATCATTTTACCATCCTCAGAGGTTGTAACAACCTAAAAAGATTGTCCCATCTTCTTCCATATTCTTCAGTCTGATAGTGTATGCATGTAAATATTTTTGTAGATTAGAATTATTCTGGGAACAAGTTCAAGACAGACATTATTATTCCATCATTCCCAGTGTAGGATCTAAACTGTTGGCTCTAGTTGTAGGATCAAAACTGTTGGTTCTAGTTGTAGGATCTAAACTGTTGGCTCTTGTTGTAAGATCAAAACTGTTGGTTCTAGTTGTAGGATCTAAACTGTTGGTTCTTGTTGTAGGATCAAAACTTTTGGTTCTAGTTGTAGGATCTAAACTGTTGGCTCTTGTTGTAAGATCAAAACTGTTGGTTCTAGTTGTAGGATCTAAACTGTTGGCTCTTGTTGTAAGATCAAAACTGTTGGTTCTAGTTGTAGGATCTAAACTGTTGGCTCTTGTTGTAAGATCAAAACTGTTGGTTCTAGTTGTAGGATCTAAACTGTTGGCTCTTGTTGTAGGATCAAAACTGTTGGTTCTAGTTGTAGGATCTAAACTGTTGGCTCTAGTTGTAGAATCTAAACTGTTGGTTCTAGTTGTAGGATCTAAACTGTTGGCTTTAGTTGTAGGATCAAACTGTTGACTAGTTGTGGGATCTAAACTGTTGACTCTAGTTGTGGGATCTAAACTGTTGACTCTAGTTGTAGGATCAAAACTGTTGGCTCTAGTTGTAGGATCTAAACTGTTGGTTCTAGTTGTGGGATCAGAACTGTTGGCTCTAGTTGTAGGATCGAAACTGTTGGCTCTAGTTGTAGGATCTACACTGTTGACTCTAGTTGTAGGATCTAAACTGTTGGTTCTAGTTGTAGGATCTAAACTATTGGCTCTTGTTGTAGGATCAAACTGTTGGTTCTAGTTGTAGGATCTAAACTGTTGGCTCTAGTTGTAGGATCTAAACTGTTGGCTCTAGTTGTGGGATCAGAACTGTTGGCTCTAGTTGTAGGATCGAAACTGTTGGCTCTAGTTGTGGATCTAAACTGTTGGCTCTAGTTGTAGGATCAAAACTGTTGGCTCTAGTTGTAGGATCGAAACTGTTGGCTCTAGTTGTGGGATCTAAACTGTTGGCTCTAGTTGTAGGATCAAAACTGTTGGCTCTAGTTGTGGGATCGAAACTGTTGGCTCTAGTTGTAGGATCTAAACTGTTGGCTCTTGTTGTAGGATCAAAACTGTTGGCTCTAGTTGTAGGATCGAAACTGTTGGCTCTTGTTGTAGGATCTAAACTGTTGTCCTCTGGTACTCTATAAATATCTTACTTTCCTGATTTTCCTGTTTCCATCTCTTCTTTTGTCATTCTTTTTCACCCTCGCCGTGTCCATACTGGGATCATGACACATCTTCTGTTTTCCTTGGACATTATCCTCAAGAAAGCGATAATCCTCTGCAAACATTTTGATATTGTGAAGTTTTTGAAGCTTTACTGCACCTTTCTCATCCAAAACACAGTTTATTGAAGTTTCAATGATTCTGATCGTTCTTATAGGCTTTTCTCCTTCGTCACTTGTTATCAGCCATAGATTTTTAGTGTATACATTCAGTTGAATGTATCTATCATTCAACTCTGTATCAGTTTTGTATATGATGTTTTTTTGGGGGAAAACCCCTAATTGCTCATCATCACCATGTTAATAGATGTTAACTGTCCCATAACTATGACAATGAATGATTCTTCTTAACACGTAAGACTTTCTTTTCAACTAGTTTGTTTTAACAGAATATTTTGTCATTCAGGTCCCAAAGTGGTTCCTCTTAACTTTAACAAGTGGATCTCATTGACTACATGAGTATTAAACAACTAAATGGGTGACTGTATAAACCATTTTCATATAGCCTGTATTTTTTCCCTTTACACCATGATTAAAGAGTTACATATGTTTACACAGAACTACAGACTAACATACATCTGAAATAGTTAAGGAAATCAGATACCTATATCTTTCTCTTTATTTGTTTGGTAATTGGCCTTATATTTAAATATGGTTTCAGAAAGATGTAGATTATACAACTTACTGTGGTATCCTGTGTTTTACAGATCTTGTTAGTGAGTGTAATATATTTTTCTATGGTCAGAGAAGTTTTTAAAACTTTGGATTTATAGAGGAACATATTATTGACCTTACTGTGATGGATGAGTAAAATACATGTTTGTGTTCATTTCCATATTTTGTGGTTTTACAGAGGTACAAGTTATTCTAATGTAGTGGATGAGTAAAAAACATTTTACTGCAATCAGTGAATTTTTAATGTGTGGTTTTACAGAAGTACAAATTATTCTAATATAGTGGATGAGTAAAAAACATTTTACTGCAATCAGTGAATTTTTAATGTGTGGTTTTTACAGAAGTATAAGTTATTCTAATATAGTGGATGAGTAAAAAACATTTTACTGCAATCAGTGAATTTTTAATGTGTGGTTTACAGAAGTACAAATTATTCTAATATAGTGGATGAGTAAAAAACATTTTACTGCAATCAGTGAAATTTTTAATGTGTGGTTTACAGAAGTACAAATTATTCTAATGTAGTGGATGAGTAAAAAAACATTTTACTACAATCAGTGAAATTTTTAATGTGTGGTTTACAGAAGTACAAATTATTCTAATGTAGTGGATGAGTAAAAAACATTTTACTGTACTCAATGATTTTCTATGTTTTGATGTTTTTATTATGCTGTGGTCAGGGCAATTTTTTAAGTTTGGTGTTTTAAAGTTACAAATTATACACACTATAGAAAATGAATTTACTTATTTTTGTAACATTTACATAGTAAAATACATTTTGCTGTGAGAAATATATATTTTTATAGTTTTACAATGTAAAATACTTTTTGCTGTGGTCAAACTTCCATGTTTGTTTGGCTGTGACTAGTTCTTTTGTACAATTTTATTGGACAAATGTGAATGTACAAAGTTACACTGTATATTTTATATGAGTGTTCCTTGGGGTGACATATATGATTAGAATTTTGAATTTCAAAACGTATGTTGTGCTAATAGTCCAGCATTCCTAACAAGGAATAGATCTCATTTCCCTGCACTATGTTGTTATAACTTATTGCTTCCACACCATTATATAAAGTTGTATGTATCTTATTGTGAGTAGCTGATGGTTTCAAAGTGTTAGTACCAGGATGTTAGAAGTGTCAGAACATGTGGTTGATAATTTATAGGTAGTGGTTGGATGATGTTATTAATTAGTAAAGCAGTATTATCTGAACTGAGTAATATTTTAAATCTTTTTATAAATTGGATTTATATGTATATACATATTTAGTTTTGAATATGAAATTAATTTTTTGTGTGTACATTTTTGTTATTACATTTACTGGTTTGTGATAAAAAAAATAAAATAAAAGTTGGAAAATTATCCAAAGGAAGACGGTGTCGAGAGAAAGCAGCGGTGGACAGTTCAGAAAGAAGAGAGACATGAGCTTGGTATATTCTGTGAAGATGTACGAAGAAGGCTTAGTTTAGTTAAATAAATAATGTTTAACTACATGTATTCTATTAATTCTTGTACAGTTTCTTTGTTATTGTAACAAGTTTTATCATTTTCATAAATCTTTGACAAGATATTTCTTTATATTAATGGATAATGAATTAAGTAAAGCTCACAATATAAGCATATAGTGTTTTGTAATACTTTATACAAAACGTATTTCCTGTTTACTATATAAATTCTAAAAGAACTGGTACAGTCTGTCTGTTTAATATCTAACAGACAACTGCCATGTAAAGAGTAAGGGAATAATACAACAAACTATAAAATAATTATTATCTAACAGACAACTGCCATGTAAGAGGGAGGGAATAATACAACAAACTATAAAATAATTATTATCTAACAGACAACTGCCATGTAAGAGGGAGGGAATAATACAACAAACTATAAAATAATTATTATCTAACAGACAACTATCATGCAAGAGTAAGGGAATAATACAACAAACTATAAAATAATTATTATCTAACAGACAACTACCATGTAAAGAGTAAGGGAATAATACAACAAACTATAAAATAATTATTATCTAACAGACAACTATCATGCAAGAGTAAGGGAATAATACAACAAACTATAAAATAATTATTACTTGTTCTACTCAAGAAGGTAGGCTTCTATTACCACAATTGAAAAGAAAAGATCACAGAATACTACAAAGAATATTTTGTTACTTACACTCATTATGAAATATCACCCTAAGGAAGGTATGTGCCAGAAAAAAACACGTGTTTTTGTTGTTGTTTTTTATTCTACGCCAAGAAATTTTCCTTTTTTTTTCCATTAAATAATATTGTTAAATTGAAAAACAATCATGGTTTTAAAATGATAATTTTTAACAGTTCTGTGTTATTCTCTACAGGGACATATTTGTATATTAAACGAAACAGTAGATAGTTCTCTAAATATTAATAGTTGTTTCATAACTTGTTTATCATCATATTTCTCCTGTAGATATTGTTAATGCTGGGAAGCTTTCTTTGTCTTACTTCAAGAAAACATTTAATAAATTGTGCTGATAGTTACCATCTTGGGTTTTGTCACATTGTGTTCTGGTTTTACAGCTTAAGTTATTACAGGATTGTAATAGTCGGGAGATAATTTAAAGAATCCTGAAAAATGTTAGCTAAATCGCTAATAAATTACTGGAAAAAAATATATAATGGATTTAATACAGAAACTATGTTCTCTTTGTTACTTTGTTATTTAATTTAGAAATAATATTTGTCACTTGTATGAGATTAAAACTAAAATTAGGTCATCTCAACAAATATGGACAAACTAAAGAGAGCGACAGACTGTGACAGTGAATAATTTTAAATTGATTCCTGTAGATCATTTGAAGAGACCGTGAATTATATGCGTGTTGGTTAAACGAATTACCCAACTTTATATTTGAAAATCATTGTCATATATGTCATCGTGATTTAAGCAAATTACAGTTTGTATGCACATTTGTGTAATGTAGAAGTTAAATAAATCGTTCAATCTTCCATTTCTTTTCTCCTTTTCTTGATTGTGAAGTTTATTTACGGGTAGCAACAGTTGACCCATCGTGACCTTTCTGGTAACTTCCGTATCCTGTCTACAGGCTGTTGCTACCCGTGAAGAAACTTCGTCACAAACACGTACCCCAATCGATCGTTGTCTTAGTTTATAACCTATAGGAACACGTAATTACCAACTGAACATTTCACACTGTGCATTGCGCATGCGTGAAGTAACGCGTTTTCCGTGTCTTTCTTATTGTAGGTCAGGGTTCATAAACCGCTACATCCAGCCCGCAAGGAAAAGCCGAGTGACCTTCTAATAGTTAATAAAAAAATATTAAAAATGGGGGGAGGGTAACATTACAAATCATTTTGTGATTAGGACGTGTAAAATCTTTAAATAATTATTGTATCTATAGGCATGACCAATACAACAAGTACTGACGGTTCGAAATGTACTGTGGGTATTTAAAAATAATGATCCTCCATTAAACGTTATACTGTTTTCTTAGTAGACAACTAACTATTCAGACAGTGATATTTGCTCCATATACTGACATTATATAATATTTAATACGTTAGTTTAAAATGTACAGGTTAAAATGTTGGTGGATCCACTTACTCCCAATCTTCTTACAATCTAGCTTCCGCTTAAAGAATACTTGAAAAACACTGCTGTAGAAATAAAGTGGGTGTTGGGTACACAATGATGTTTTACTAGAGGGCAGAATGAACACTATTAAACATCCACCACTATTTAATCATGGCATCTTACTAAACTTTGTAGTTAGCTGTAAAACATCTTCAGACGGTTTGTCCACCAACTAAAATCTTATAACACCATAAAGTATTTAATCAGATGGCGGAGAGCCCGGCATGGCCAGGTGGTTAGGGTGCTCGACTCGAAATCTGCAGGTCGCGGATTCGAATCCCCGTCACACCAAACATGCTCGCCCTTTCAGCCGTGGGGGCGTTATAACGTGACGGTCAATCTCACTATTCGTTGGTAAAAGAGTAGCCCAAGAGTTGGCGGTGGGTGGTGATGACTAGCTGCCTTCCCTCTAGTCTTACACTGCTAAATTAGGGACGGCTAGCGCAGATAGCCCTCGTGTAGCTTTGCGCGAAATTCAAAACAAACAGATGGCGGATTCTTTAGTCAATATGTACGAATTTATTGTAAACATTTGAGTTATCTTAGCACCCATATAACTATGACGTGGTGGGTGTCCTGCTTTGCTAGTTAGGGAGTTTAATCTTTGCAAACCATATTTGGTGAACGTGTAATTTCTGATTTATTGTTCAAACGATTTGAGCATCCATAAACTCAAGTTAAACTCCATGTTTTCCTTTTACCATGGTATAGCTTAGAACATTCTCATTCAGACAAGGCATCAAAAATACTTAAGCTCTAATTTGATGTTAATCTAAAATGTAAACGTGTGTGTTGGGAGAAGGTTTTTCTCAGCTAGAATGAGATTAAATACAAAAAAAAAAGATTCTTGAAAATTATAAATTGTACATTTAATTATTCTTTGTGATAATTTTGTCGCTTCTTGGAAAACATTAACGAATGATAAAAAGGTTAAATGCAAGTCGACAAATACCAAATCCACCTTGATGTTGGGTTGTTTGAAACGGAATAACGAGAAGATGGAACTATCAGCCTCATTTGTGGATGACTCCAGTATTTCTGTAGTGTTAGTTGATTGCTGTCGATATGGACGAAAGGGTTTTTCGGTGTTTTTTAAAGTTATTTTCTACATTCGATAACCAATGAATACTGAACGTGGGTTGTGTTAGGCCAACTAATATATACAATGACATTTCATTACTTAACCTAACATTAAGCATATAGGTACTGGACAAGAAGAATGATTAATACAACCTGCAAAAGTTTTTATTGTAAAAAGATATTACGTAGTACAATAAATACCAAACAATAAACTCGTCGCTGATCATAAAATAGAAAACAAAGTAAGGCACTGATGCTGTTGAATATACAATACTGTTCAGTTTAAAAGTTATTTAGTTTCGTAACGAGTTAAAAGTTAATTATTTTAGAAGCGAAAGTTATGACAAATTTTGTTACGTAACTGTACAAGTCGTACTTAGTGTATGCAGTTTAATTGTTGTACTTGGCTTTTTTAATATATTTGACGTCATCTTACTCGACGTTTTTCTTGTTATATGAATGTTGTTTTCACTAGAGGGCTAGATATTTCTATTATTGCCTGTTATAAATACTGCAGATGCAGAGTACAAAAAAAGAAGTTAAAAAGTAAGTTAGTGAAAATGATTGTCAGTTTAATAGTAATGGGCAATATCTAAAGCGAGTTTCACAGTGTTATTGTAACAATAGAGATATAGAAGAATAATCTGTCTTGTCTAAAGTAATTGAACCTGCTTGTGTGGACTTTTACGAAAAGGAGACAGTTATCTAAAGCTTTAGATATAACTGTGATAACCACTAGTGTAACGAATACGTGCGTTCGACTTGTTTTGAATATATTATTTTAAAACAAGTGGATTATGTGCTGTACGTTTATTGTTGAAATTTATCGCCAACATGTCACAGACACCTACTGTAAAGAATTCGGCCCATATAAAATTGACATACGCCAAACTAGTGGCGAGCAGGGACAAAAGCAAGTCATGTTTTTAGTTGGTCTTAAATAAATCAGCCCACCTGAGGTTCAAATAAAACATGACAAACAGTTGATCACTGATCTATCACCAATTTCTTTGTTATCGTAAATGAAAAGTATGTTAGTTACTAGGCTGATGTACA